GGCAATGCGGATGGGGCAAAGTGAAACAGGATTCCACTTTGCCCCGGCCATATTTGATAGGCCTAGATGTATTTCATTATTATCAGATTATTTATTATGATCTTAATTAGTACTCTCAGTAGCAGGTGTATAATATATGCCTGTCTTTGCATCATTTTAACACCTAACTCGCTAACATTGGCCTAATTGTGTCTTTCCTAGACTTACATAATATAAGCGTCCTATAATGGCATTTTTCTTTCACATTTTAGGTAAAATGATACGCAACTATGAATTTGATGTTCAGAGTTGGACACTGTTAGGTTTTGTAAGAATCCATCATGTTAGGCAACGGAGGCTCAATTTCTATTTAGGGTCGAGGCAGGTCTACCACTGCCGCCACGCTTTATTTTCTACACAACACTCAAAACAACAGAACATTGCAAAAGTTACAAAGATGACCACCCGATGGCAGCACGTCTCAATCCATAATAATACATGTCATAATATCATAATATCTCACAGACACTGAAAGAGGACGCAACATTTTTGACACAATATACATGGAGTAAAATTACATTCAACATAACCCATAACAGGTTTCACTTTGCCCCGGGAGTCTGGGGCAAAATGAAATGTTTATAACTTTTATAATTTTGTATATTTCAATAAAGTCGTTTTTTAGATTAACTTTGTTTGTACCGCCTGTTAGTGCTTGTCCTAAGCCAAAGGATTAGAGTCAAAAGTTTCACTTTGTCTCGCTCTTTCACAGCGTTTTGGCCAACGAAATATATTCGGTCCACTTTGCCCAGGGGTTAGTTATAATAACAAATAGTTATACTAAGTTATATTATAAATACTATTTTATTACAAACTAGTTTATACGTTTTAAGGTTACACAAGGTTTAAGTTTAAGTTTGAATTAAAAGGTTAAGTTCAATTTAAAAAGTTAAAGTTTAAGCTCACTTTTAGTGAAGTTTTAAATATTAAGTTTTCGTTTTTCGACGATGTCCATCATCGCTATTGGGTACCGTAAGGGAACATCTCCATCATTGCAGTAGGTAAACATATTCGAGAATGCGCCCCCTGGTGTCGTAGCTATGACTAACATGCCAATGGCTTTGGGACTTGAGATCTGTTGAGAAAGAATGCATTGAGAGTTATTTAAATAATTTAATTGTTCCGATTATTTTCGCTCGCATAATATTTACTGTTTCGCGAATATCACCGGCAACTTCACGAATGCGTAAGCATTTTACTTTTGTCACACACGTTAGCGAGCGCACAGATGCATATACGCACGCANTAGAATCCCACCACTCCACCACAGAGTCACCGCAGTAGACGTTAGATGAGCGCTGTCGCTCCGCGGCACTTGTTTCTTGTGCCTCAGCTTGCAAATTATATTTTCAGGCAATGTCAGATGAGCTGAGTGATGTTGTATTTCTCAAGGTGAATGTTGACGACTGTGATGAGGTAAGTCGACATTCCTTTTGACGAGTGTTGGTGTTTTAAAGTAACCCATTGCTGTACGTTTTAGTTGCTATAGAGCAGGGTACATAGCATTAGTGTCCATGTTCAATAGACAGTTTCTAATTTTAAACCATGTTAGTAGTGGCATTTGTATTAACCAGTTAAAGTGGTGCCATTCTTATTTATTAGGTAAGAAATAATTAAAAATAATATTTTGTAACAACCTTCACATTTACAGATTGCAGCAGATTACGATGTGTCTGCGATGCCAACATTTGTGTTTCTGAAAGATGGGAAGAAGGTGAATATGCGATAACATTTTTTAAGGATACTGTTAGTTATGGTTGGGAGGCGATTTTCAGTCGAAAATTCAATACCCACTTTATTTGATAGATCGCACCCAAGAGCAGCTGGTATACGTAGAAATTATGTATGTAGCCTCCCAAACAGTTCCAAATCCCTGCATTAGTCAATTCTTAACACAGGCGTTCAATCATGGGAAATTTAGAAAAGTGCTAATATCTCCATTGTTAGAAATGCTGAAGTTGCTGATTTTTCAAACGCTATTTCTCGAAACTCATAACTCCGATTGCATAAAATTATGTTACGTTTCAATGCTAACATATAAAAGGAAAACGGTTTCTCTGGAATTTTTTTAAATATTATATTTTATAAGTTATGGCTCTTTGTTTACGAAATTTTTGCGTTTTGAAAATCACTACAAATTTTCACATGTACATCTTGATCTTTTCAACTTATTTCCTAAATTAATGCATTCCAAGGACATTTTTTAGTTCATATTATGATCAACATGGTTAAAGGTTTAGGTCCCAACTCTTTACTGTTTCTGAGAAATAACAAAAAAAGATTTTTTGTTTGTAAATTCACAATTTTTGCCGTCACTTAATTAGCGAGGAATTAAAAAAAAAAATGCATCGAGAGCGCAGAGAGACATCTCTCTTATGTAATGGATATGAGTAACTGGATTGAATTTGATGAGCAGTTATGTTGCACTGCCCTTTTACAGTGTCAGTGTTACCTGTGCATAACCCTAAAACTAACAGTAGGCCTATCATCCTTAACACAGAAATAGATTAGTGATTGCTATAGTACCTGGATAAAAATTGTGTTATTGCGTAGGCATGCTGGCATGTACTTGCATGCTCGGACTCCCTCTCCTTTCCCCACCCTCTCTGGCTTTCTCTCTCCTTCTACCTTCCCTAGCAAATCTGTAAATATCAACTAAAACAGAGGGCTGTGGAAGTTGTGAAGTTAGGAGCTGTCAGAAGTGTGTAACCTTAATCAAGTGTTTTATTTAATGTGAACCATCATGTTAAAATATGGTACCAGTATACATAATGTTTATCTTATCTACAGGTGGATAATCTGATTGGAGCAAATGTAGATCAACTAAAAAGCAAGATTGCGTCCAATAAGTAAATGAATCTTGATTCATTAGTATTGGCCTTTACGATCACCACCAACTAAATCTGCTTTAGCATGTTAACCAGTAATTTAGATACTTTCTTCTATAATTCTGGTACATGCATGTAGTACTAATAGATAGTATCAGGTGTAGTTACTGAATTTTGTGGCTTATAAGATGCTCCGATACATTGCACGCACCCACAAATATAAGAGGAAGTAATCTTTATAGCAATCTTTAAAAAAACACTGCAATAGGTCTCCTCACTAAAGGGTATATAATATTGTCATTATAAATAAAGCCACACCCGTGTTTGTTACTCTGTTTTATCTCGAACTTCCCGCAATTCAAAAGCCTTTCACTTTATCAGCACTGATTATTATTATACTGTGTAATACTTAAAAATGGCCACTGCATCGACATTCAGCTTATAGGACACCAAGTTGGATGAACAATTTTGTGGATAAATGGCATCCATCCTATAAGTCACAAAATAAGGCAGTTTCTTGTTTTTTTTTACAAGTAAGCATTTGTCTGTATCATGAAATATGCAGTGTAACAACTGACTTAACAGACATTTCCTCAGAAAATGAATATTAGGTAAGACATGGAATGTTAGCAGTCACAAGACTGCATTATTGCAGTACCTTAAATGATTGTTATTGCAAATTGGAACTAGATATAGTAGCATCACTAGGCTTTATGAACATCTAGCTATTAAATAATAATTCTTCCAATTGGATCATTTTTATCCCTCATGTCTTATTAGATGTATGTTTGGAATGGCGAATACAATTGACAATAATTTTTGCATTGAAATTTTGTCAACATTTATACAATTTTTTATTCCTGTATGCACTACAAAAAATAAACTGCAAAGTTGCATAAATATAGTATATAATTTTGCATGTTTGGTACATTGAAGTAGACCTTTCCACATAAATAATTTCAATTTGGACCAGGAACCATTAATAGAGACAATAGAACTACAATCCGAAGAAACTAAATCATCAGAATCTATATAGCACTCATCGCAACACCGACTGCGAATTTAGCTATTTTAGATGGATAGAAAAAAACAGCAGTGCTACCAAATCAGCCCATTTGCAGGCATGGTAGTGCTTTTTGAGGCTTTTGTTTGTTATCACTTGACAAAGGCACAACCCAACTTATTTCACCATATTCATGTGTACTTATTATTGTTACTGACAACTGCTTCATGATCAAAACCGAACATTTTTCTGTGTTAAACTTGTAGCGAACCTAGGGAACAGTTTCATATCTGCAGTTCATTTGCCTCTACCAACAGTGTATTTAAAACTAAACGATAATGTTACTGTGACAGATAAAACCATAGAAAACCAATGGTGGTGAATTTCTTGACATTATTCTGAAGCTAATTAATATAAAACTGAAATTGCATAATAATAATTGTGGCATAGCATGACATACTATCTGGCTTGCATCAATAAAATGACAAGTAGTCATGAACAGCCAAAGTGGTCCAACTTGATACTTGTAGAAGATGAGGTTGAGATGAGTGAGGGTCAGGTGTACATCAGTTTTGGCAATGACAACTGCTTTCAGTTGCCCATACACAACTTGGTCACACAACAAGTCTGTAACTCACATATCGTCCTGCAGTCTCACTAGTTCTGACTATTTTCACCAACTGCAACAAAAATACAATTGTGAAATATGGGTCACATTAGATATATGGCACCTATATAGGCCATTTCACAGACACAATAATACAAAATATTCAGAGAAAGAATACTTTTGTAACGAGAAAGCAACATCGCGGCTGGCCAAGGCGAAACAAAACTGGCAGGCTAAGCAAAACACGGCTGCACAGTGCAATGAAAAATAGACCTCTCCATCATTTTAATCTGAAACCCTACAAGTGCAGTGTAGGGAGCTTTGGTGTAAACTGTCAATGATGATCCAAAACGTTGAGTATAAATAGAGATAGGTTTATTATACCACAGGTTACAACAGAAATGCACTGCAACCTGCAGACTGCGGCTGTCGAGTGTGTACTCTCCTCTCTCTTTAATCTGCGAGTCCCTCTCTCCTCTGATCCTCCTTATAAAACCCCTCTGGAACCTCTGGGGCAGGACACCCTGCTCTAGCCTGATTACAGGGCACGTGCCTGCCCTAGTTTACCCTGGCTCATAATAATCCTATTGCTGGTAATGATTATTTACTGTTGTCATCACTTCACTTGTTTATTACCCCTACCTTAATTGGTAAATTACCCCATATCCTCTACCAACCCTTATTACACTACATAATATCTATCAGCGCCTTTACGATGCTGCAGCAGAGGTGCCAACATTGACCATTGTGTAATAGGAATTTGAATCTTTACAAGTAGGAATTTTCACCACTAAGTAGGAATCTTGGGGAACAAGTTATTTAAGCACAAGACTACGCACAGTAGAAGTCTAAAAATCCGGACTGCTCGGAGATTGGGTCGGTCCAGATTTTCATGTACTTGATTACATAAATTAGCTTGCATTATTCGCTATTTAAAGAGATACTCCACGCTAGAATTTTCGGGTATATTATGATAGCAAGTGCATGAATAATAGTACATATCTACAAAGTTCTACAATCATGCATTCAAATTTGTCATAAAACAACAATTTCGAAATCTTCATTTTTGGGTGCTGCCACACTGGAAAAGTTGTGTTACAGACCGAGGGCTAATCACAAAAGTGCAATTAAATTTATACCTATCTGCAATTTAACCGAACGATTTTTATTTTAGGACAAATTCGTCCATATTATAATTGACTCTAAGTTGTTTACAAGGTAGTGCAATCCTTCTCATCTTAAATTTATAAATAAGCTCCGTCTGTAGCTTGCAGCCAAAATTTGACAGCAGATGGGCTAGTAGTGGCGCCACCTTTGTTGTAAGCAACGTTTAACAGCAGTTAGTTTTAAAACATTAAAAAAATATACTTCTAATGAATATTGAACAATGGAATTTTTTATGTAGCATAATTTAAACCTATTTTAACTGAAAATGTGCAAGGAACCCTAGGGTCAAGCATCCCCTTAACATCGTCTTGTTCGTATTGCGATACTGACGCTGCGTAGCGTTTATCGTATTGTGGACGGCTGTATCACAGTACATCGATGTATCAGTATGATGCAGCAATTTATACAAAGAGTATGTAGCGTATAGCGTGACGCTACACAAGTGTGAGGGGAAAAGGTAGGAGAGTAACCAGGGACGAATGGCCAAAGGTGAAGACCAGAATTAAAGGGACAAGACGTTTATTGCAACTGATAACAGAAGACCGGCAGAACCTCGAACCACACCAGAGCGTAGGTGTGCGCATGGATACCGATCATAACGCTCCGCACCAACGCCCTATTTATCCTTCTCTTCCCGCTCTTAGACCGCGAGCACGCATCCTCGTATTTGCTTTGTTTCGTGCGGGATGTCTCCGACGAGCGCGTGCCATCGTCACCCTCATAGATTGTGGTGTTCAATAATGTGATATGCTTGGTCCTGAATAATCTAGTATACCTGGTTCTCAATGGTTATCGATCATGCGTCGGCATGCAATTTCAGCCCGTCATACAATGTCCACAATATAAATAGCCATGCTGATATTTCTCTATGGATGTTGACGGGCATCATTACTTGCACTACATTGTTTCTCGCCCGCACATAGTTGCGTAAACATGGCTCAATGAATGTCCCATTGACAATAATAGCCAGAATGTAATATTGGTCGCTACAATTAATGAAAGTGTCAATGACACTGTAGCTCACCTTGGGTGTGATAGAAGAGGGAGGGGGGGGGATATATAAAGCAAGAGTATAATTATATGGGAGAACTCCCATTATATAGCATATCTCCCATTATATACTCTTGATAATGATGATATACGAGTAATTTTTGATGCGAAAATAAATGTTTCAGATCTGTTGGCATACAATCTGATGGCGGTGACCGTAGGCAGACACTGAAATTCATAGTGAAATTGCCGAAATTTACCTAATTTGCATAATTTAAAAAAAAATCAAAACCTGTTTGATATGTTTTGGGGCCAGTTCTTATGGCCATTTCCATTTTTGCGAAAAAGTGGACGTGGCTCGAAAGTAGGTCGACTGGCGTGCTCCAAAATAGGACGTTCAAACCTCTCCCATAGGAGTAACAACTATATGCAATTTGAAACATGTGGGTCAAACAGTTCCTGAGTTATTGTTGACCGTAGCCAAATGTTGACGGACGGACGGACGCACAGACGGACGGACGGACGGACGGCACCCCATGGCAATAGCTCATCTTGACGATGTCAAGGTGAGCTAAAAACCATGCCTAAATTTTTATTACCTTATCTTTTAATAAAATTCAATGTAAAGTGGCACAGTTAACCCTAGCTCCAAGAAACGGTCATACATCAAGAGACGTGTATTGAGCCGTGTATCAAGAGATGTGTATATTGACATTAGTCACACAGCCTGGTCAGGCTAAGTTAACCCAAAACAAAGACATGTGAGATGTCCAACCTCAAACAGTAAGTAAATATTTACTAATCCAAGCAAACTCATCATCTCAAACGTCACACTCACTGACTGACTGCTTATTAGAATGTCATGCACTAGTGAAGGGGGAAGTGGTTGGGATTTCATAATTAATTCATCTCAATGTTGCACGTATGACCTTATTTTTAATGTTTATCATGCTTGTATTATCAATGTACATTTTGATTGAGTTTACACAAAGATCTTTTTCGAAATGGCCCCATTACCTTAAAGATGACAGTATGGTAATACTACTATACTATTAGTTATAGACATAAGTATGTTATGCAATAATGAATGAAATTGTCGAAAACATGTTTTAAGGGTACTGACAGAAAAAACACATTTAGCGCTTTTGCAGATTAATTCGAATGACTAAAGAAGAGCTTCTATTGTGACACTATAGTGGTGATCCTACTACCAACAGTTAACTTTTGATGTTCAGAATATAGATATCATATTTTTAAGATAAAATAAAATAAAAATAAAATAATAATTACAATTAGTTTCAAGATTGTTTTTAAAATCCGATTTTTATCATTAAAATTTTTTACAAATAGTTTTTACATTTCAAAAGTAAACCTATAAGTAATGTTTAGTTAAACTGAAGCTGATATAATAAGAACTCAAAAATACAGGCTATTCAATTATTCTATAATCAGTGACTGCAAATGATCAAGTTTTGACTAAATTGATCATTATGACATCACTAGTAATTACCAAACCTTATTTCACACCAGCAGTTAGCATTTCATCACAATTTAAAAGGAGTACTGGAAATGCTGAGATGTTGCTAAATGGGTAGGTAGGCTGAGGTTGACAAAACTAATAGTTGGTTTTAGTTAATAGGGATGCTCTGGTTTCATGTCCCACGCATGTAAGTTTGTAGCACACGGGAAAACACATTGCAAGCGAAACCATACACATTTCTTTACCTATCGATGGTTCTTAGATCAGACAACAAGTCTATAAGTGATGTAGCGACCAGCAGTTTCGCTTGGTCTTATAATTTTAACAACCTAAATAGAACATTTCATGTGTACACAACATAAACAATAAATGTTACAGAAAAATATCAATAAAAATAGCAATAAAAAACGTATATAAACAAATCACACACAAAGGCACCCACCCGTACCAGGGGCGGATTCAGACCGTATTTGCCGTATTGGGAAATACGGTCTAGATTTCAAAGTGCCCTTCGAAATTTTGGGCTAAAAAATATAGAAAACAATTTTATGGAATTTGGCTATATATTCTTTATTTGTTTTCTTTTTCTTCTGATTCATTGACATGACTTGAAGGAAATCAAAATTTTACATGGTAACAAAACTAGCTTTGATATCTGAAAAATAAGGTAAGTGCTTGAATCATTCTGCATTAATTGCTGGTATGCAAAGCGCAGGCAAAATGAAGCAGAAATAAAATTCCATATGGTTTTTAGCTATTGCTGCTTGACTAAATGTGTGCTCAAATCGTGCTCTTTTTTGTGCCCAGGGACCCTTGTAATTTTGAAATTTCCTGGCGGAGGCCCCCCAGACCCCCGCTATGTGCTTCCGCGCCTAACGGCGCCCACTGTAAGGTGGTGTGCCCTTTTTGGGGGATGTGCCCTTAAAATCTGGAAAAATATTGTCTAGCTTCAGCCCTGGATCCGCCCCTGCGTACACATATGCAATAACGCGCAGGTGTGCGCATGCCAATATTGTAAGATTTGTTGAAAACGTTACGTGTTTTCTCACGATTACACTAATTGAAAAGAAAGACACATTGCAGGTGTTTGCAACTCGACCTGAAATAGCAAGCAATTCTGTGGATGAATTAATCTAGTAATGAACATGTAAGAAGGTATCGATTTAAAAAGTAAAAAATACACACCTGTCCTCGCTTCAATCCAAAGTATCTCGCAACTGGATCACCTTGTTGTATCCTAGGCAGCTGGCTGTCTTTCAGTTTGCTATATTGCGAGTGAAGGATTCTCAAATTCCATCAAACAAAGCAATTTAATCAATCATTAGTACAAATAACCATTATTCTTTAACTATATATATATATAAACATAAATAAATCAATAAATAAATAAATAAATAAATAAATAAATATATATATATATATATATATATATACTACAACTACAAGAACCAACTATGTCTGTCTCTGTCTGTCTGCTATGCATTCCACCGTTTATTGGTTTAGGATACCAAAAATTGCTGCACTATTAGGTGATCACCAATTGGGGCGCCTAAGCACATTTAGATCATATCTAGAGCAAAATATCATATAGAAATACCTGGTTTCACACTGTATACCATATAACACATGTACAGCGGCAGCCATTGCTGCGCGCCAGGGTTGCCCCTACAGGTGATGTAGAGGTCACTCATGGGGGCATGGCGACGGTGCACAGTTGTTACCACCGCAAATATTTTGGTCGTGAATGCAACCCAGGCAACGCCGGGTCCCCCACCAGTATATAGTAATATGTTGCTGTGTAGAAACAACATGTTACGGTTTGATTGTACGATTACGTCAGATTTGCGTCACAAGCAGACACAATGAACCGGATCCTGCACACAGTGGTGGCGCCATCTAATGAAGAATACCTATACTGATTATACTACATCGCTCTTCACACAATAAGTTTTGCAAATTACAAACGAGATTCAAAACTGAACTGAAACTGCACATTGATAATTGACTTAGTAGTGTTACACTGACTCTTTCAGTACTTTAGGTACTGTAACATGAACAAATATGTGTCTATCAACTGCTGTATAGTGAAGAAACGAACTTATTATACGCCTGCATATTAGTTATCTAAGCATATAGCATCATCATATCGTATGCTTGCTTTGAATATTTCATACACTCATGGGTTAAGCCTGACATGCTGATAGGGGGCTTGATAGTTCTACCATATATAGATCTGACTGTATTATCATGTTCGCTATGGTTTGGCTTTGGTGGTGAAGGTGATTTAGCAGACTGCTTATGGGATAATGCAGAGCTCTACATCCTGGCTTGGTCTTGACGGAGTACTTTGTACCTGCGGGGGTGCATGTATTTCAGTGTAGGACTCTATAGTGGTATGACAATGTTTGTTCAGAGCTCTGTATATTGTAGTGATTACGCCGATATACGCCACCATTATCAGACTGGATGACGTATGATCTAGGCTCTTTAGCCTGACCAATTATGACAACTGTTTTGCTGGGGCAAAATATCTGGTTTATATGTACTCTCTCATCACAAAGTACTTAGCTAGCTGCAAGGTGGAATCCTGATACTTCTTTTGACTGGCTTGCCGATTTTGGCATGTGAGTCAGATTGCCACAGGTTGAGAGCTTGTGGTGGGGGAGGCAATTCTCAGCTACGGAAGACATAACAAGTTGTGCGGGCGAAGCAAAAACCATCCACAGAAGTATTTCATAGCTCATTCAAAGTAAAGATGTCACTGGCAATCCCCTGTCATGGGCGCCGACTGGAATGGGGTAACCCACTAGTGGTTCATGCGCAGGTGCGCTTTGCAAATGGCACACTAGTGAACGCTGTTTTCAAGGTCTTTATCGATGCAGGGTCAGAATACTGTCTCTTTCTCTCAGCCTGCACTTTTCAATGACCATTTGGCCTGTGTGCAAAAATGCTCAAATCGTAGATCTAAGCCTTTCTTGGATCACAATCATGTGGGATTTAAAAACTACACCGTCAATTACAGAAAGCCCACTCCTATGGTTCCAGTATTCCTGTATGTCTTTAGGGGAAGACATACGATACTCTGACCAGCCGTTGATTATTGTGGCCATGAGAACATACATGACCTGGTATTATTCTGTGGCACACCTTATTTCCTCTAGCTTATGTGGGGTGACTGGTATGGACTCAAACGCTGAGTGTACTTGTACAACCGACTCCACATCATCATTAGATTGAAGGACGACGCAATGACGAGACAGCGTGTCGGCGACAGGTATTTCCTTGCCTGGCTTGTGAACGACTTTGATATCATATCCCTGCAGCTTACATTTATTTCTGATGGATCCAGGGCTTTGTGATCATACTCAACTGTCGTGTGCTGACCATATGAAAAATACAATGGACAATGGACTTGACATCACCCAAATTCCCATGAGCCTCATAAATCTTAGGCTAGAACACATGTGGCATACAGACAATTTCCAAGGGCAACCGGAGAAATCGGTCCCTTCCAAATAGCAAGTGGAAGGTTGTATCTAGGGACAACCGGTGAAACAGTTCAATGGCCCAATAACCTGAGCGCTCAGCAAGGATTCAGAAGTAGCGTGAAGCGGCTAACCTTCCACCGATGTCGTTGAGCGACTTTGCAGGGTAGTGTGGGTGACAGATGGCATCGATAAGGTCCTCAGGATCCAAACAAATCCTGATGACCCGTGACTATTTCTTAACCACTAATATAGAGTTTACCCAATCAGTAGGTTCGGGGTCATTTGCAATGACTTTGATTTCCACCATACTGTCAAATTCCTGCTCGACTTTTTCACGGTCCGAGAAGGGGATACTCAGGTGGGCGATTCACAGGAGTCACTTTTCTGTCGATGGCGAATGGGCATTGACCTTGAAACACCTCGAAACAATTTTTTTTAACACATCATTGAATTGGTCTACTACAGCCTGCGTGGAGGAAGGTGTGACGTGTCGAGTTGCAGCCTGTGGCACTGGACACGGTAACTGTGCTGCAGATGACTGGGCTGATTCCCTAACAGACACTACCAGTTTTACCAGATCAAAATAAAGACACAATTTCAGGGGGTGACGAAGTTTTGACGACAGAAAACTTCACTGGTAGGGTGGTTTCCTTATGTGTGCACGTTATTACACAAGAAGCTAGTGTTTCCAGCGAGTGCCCAGAGTAACTATACAGGACGATAATCGCTCTTCAGCAATTGACAGCCCAGAGACTAGTATAGCGATATCGGTAACACGTTGACCTCAGCTCCAGTGTTAGGTGTAATAGAAAACACGACCTGATAGGCTTGAGGGATCAGCTACTGTCTTACTCATGGCATCGGCGCTGTAAACAGTGCCCATGCTGAATTCCTCACGGAACTCCGGAACTGGATTCATCCACGGCGTGAATATCCTTTTTCCTTGACCTACTCTTTGGCACAATCTACATGATTGACCATTGGCAAGATACATGCCATAATAGTGCTTATCATGACGAATAAAACACGGACTAATAACGTAAATGGTGAAAACACACGGAGAGCCACGGATTATTATGGTGCTAAATACAGTCCCCGGCAAAATAAACTCCCACATACTAGCCGCGGACTGCTAACGGACTGCCAATTAACAATGATCAAATCTAGAAGTGTCCGTTATTATTAATTCACAGTACAGTACGTGAATTTCCCTGCCAGCATGGGACCCTCACACCAGCAGTGGGATATTTTGAAGCAGTTGAACGTTAACAGATGCTGGGGCTCTAGCTATTTACCATCGTTAAATAATCAACCGATAACTGTTAGTTGGCAGTCCATTAGCAGTCCGTGGAAGTACGTGTATTATACCACGGACTGTAATTAGCTCCGTAATAGTCCGTGGCTCTCCATGCATTTTGCACAATTCATGCGATTAGTCCGTGATTTATCCATTTATTCCAGTTTTCATAGTGTAACGTGATATCGTTCTACAAGCCTTTCTTGCACTTTATCTGATGCGACTCCGAATCCAAATTGATCACGCACTTGGTCATTTTGGACTGCTTGCGGATATGCAGAGTCCATCATGAGCTTGCGTCCATTACAAACTGGTCGACCGGCTCTGCTAGCTGCTGTACTCTATGGTGGAACACATGACGTGACACATCACCGTATTAGATTTTCGGAATTAAAAACCCATTAATCGGTGTAAATGGGTGCTAATTTACTCTTCTCATCTTCTTGGAACATGAACGTTGGTGAACAACTTCACTGACTTATCCAAAAGAGCAGATATGAAATGTTTAACCTTCTACAGTTCCAATGACAAAGGCTCTGAACACGATGAGCATAGTGATAGTGTTGCTTGAATTATTTCATGCTTCTCTCAGATTGGGACTATTTCAGTCCATCACTGATCTTTGCATCCTACTTCTGACACCATGTAATAGGTTTCTGCATAGTGAGAAACAACTTAAAACGATTTAATTGTACGACTGAGCCAGATTTTAATTTGGTAGTTACGAGGCTCCAGGGGAAGCCATGAGCATTGAGCCAGATACTAATATTATAATAATATAGATAATAATAATAATAATAATAATAATAATAGACTATCATCTATTAGGAGTATATCATTGAAGAATACTGATTAAAGATTATGTGTACACATTGAATTTGCAATAATAATAATTAAAACCCACATTACTAGTTGCAAACACTACAGCATTCATAAAAGCTGAATGTTATTTATGCTTTACAAGGATACTATCTTCCTAGCAGTTCAGTTTTCTCTTCTGGTGTCATGACAATGTGTTCAGGTACATGCTGGAAGTAAACATCACAATTATTTATTTGAATTGTGCAACGAGTTAGTGCGAAACCAGTGCTACACAGGTGGATCGAGTTAGCTGTGCCTAATGCACTTATTTTAGCATACAATATGACCGTATGTACATAGAGCACAAAGCTTCGCAGCAAGTATACCTAGGTCTAACCATAGAATTAAAGTTACACAGTATACAATGGACATGAAACGTATATCAGTCTATACAGCAAAGCAGTGACCATTACATAATAATACATGCTATTCGTCTAGCTCAACTGTACCAAACTGGGTGAGCATAGGACGGTAGTGGGCGATACTTCAAAAGGATCCATCTATAACAGTTCCCTAGGATTTTCAAAAACTGTATGCTAAACAGTAGTGTGTACAATCTCTGTTTGACAACGCTGTCTAGTGATACTTGTTTTAACACGCTAGTAATTTAGCATGTTTGGTACTTCGTATAAATTATAGTGTATGTAAACTTCAAAATAATAAACTTTCATTACATGTGAAAATTCATATTCTAATAAAAAGTGGTCACAAGAGGAGGATGTGGAGGTGGTAGAGGAATGGCAGGAGTAGTAGGATGATGAGCAGGAGGGGAGGAGGAATTAGTTTACAGAGGATGATGGCCAAAGAACTGCAGGAGTTATTATTTCACATAATTATGATTCCATATGATTTCCACAGCTGCAAGTTTTCCACTCAATAGTGGAGGCATAATAAAGCTTTGAAAAACACGTTTGCCACATTAAATTTAATGGATCAATTGCCAATTTGCTACATTAATGGACCTGTTAAATTGTTTGGTAATTGGAAAACAGAAGAAAAGTTAATTTTAACAAACACAACAAAGTATGTCTGCAGAAGCGTACTGAACAGTACACGTGTATGTATAAAATTCCTACAGTAAATATTCAAGTTATCTCTTCTAACAGACCATTAATGACAAACATATCCGTATTCACTTACATTACTGGCATAGCTTCTTCTGTTAACAAATTTCATGTTAAAATCACAAAAGATATATTCAAGATCACTAGCCGTAGTAGAGCAAAGCTGCCTTCATTCACAACATTTGAAGGAAATATAGTAGCTTTAGCTCGCATCAGATGTCGGATGCACATCGTGGGCACATTAGTGCTCTAGCCTATTTAAATATTTCCTGGTCTAATTTTAAATGTCAAACAAACCCACTCAAACTTGAATATCGTAGTAACATTGATATTAGGCACATATTTCAAGAAATCTATTTATTAATCACACATTTGTCTGAATCGCTGAATGACCTTACAAAACAAATGCAAACGTCTTAAAAACGTGACCTGTCCAGATGGATGTTATTCAAATCCACTTAGTCAGCCAGGTTAGCAATTTCTGATCTGTACCTTCGAGTACGTGACAGTTATTGGCAAGTAGTGTCACCTGTATAAGGTGTCTTCACTTATTCTTTGTTACTAGCATGTAGGTACAAAGATAATTGCTTATTAAAGATTGAGTCCTACGGGCTATCATGCATTCCCACACTTGGAGTAACCCGAGATACAACTGACACGACTATAGAGATTTTCATAAACCACAAAATTTTATGTGGTTCACCTTCGGTGCTCGCATGCTCGCTTCTCGGTTTGCGAAACCAAAATTTTTTTACCGCCTCACTGACCTTTTCGGCCCGGGGAAACACTGTGTAAGTATACCAAGTTTGGTCGCGCTAGGTCAATTAAGGGTCGAGTTATAGAGAGGAAGGGAAAGTGTCTGCGGCGGCGGCGGCGGCGGCGAGCGGAGGCTGGACTGACATGAAACCATAGTATCCCCGCCGACTTCGTCGCGGGAGATACAATAAATATCAGATCGCCTAGCTGATCCGATCTGACAAGACTAATGTGACTTCACGTACGAGTAATCATGTGGGACTATCGCCACATTTCTTATTGGAGTGCGAAAATTTTGAATATGTTAATACATGTAGCAACATTGCTGCAAGCGGATTTTTTGTAGCACTTGAAGAATATAACTATATCTATGATATATTCAAGTGTTACCGAGCTGTTTCAACATTTAAAAGCTTGACACAAACCCTTTGAAGATCAGTTTCTGCATACCGAGTACTAAAGTCTGAATTATCAGCAGATCAGTTATACAGCTGCAAATCTTTCCATATGGGCATACCTGAACTTCTTGAAATAGGCAGGTAACCAGTAAAAACAGCACCACCATAGCACAACTAGAGTACCACAAAACGAATAGATACACAGAGCTACAGAGCAAGCGCATGTTAGGAAACAAAATACGATATACAGATATTAGCTAAAAAAATGATTCATTATATAAACTTAATTAATAATTAACAATTATTAATTAAGTTTATATAATGAATATTAATAAATAAATATTAATAAATATATATAATTATTATATATACTAAATTAAGCAACACATACTTCATGTTCTGTTATATTGATGAGAAGTTCTGCTTCTAAAAACTGTTCTAGGATGTACTTGGGAGCCATGTCAACTAGTGCCTAAAATTAAAAAGAATGAGTGAACAATAAGCAGTCTCTTCCAATTATCAGGAGCAAACACAAACACCCTTCAATAAACATCAAGCATAAAAAATTATTAATATTCACTGCTGAATTGTGTTGATAGCATACATGAGTGATCTCCCAATAAAGTGCTCATATTTATACACATTATTACACAGTAAGTACACTAATACAGAACAATTGAATTTTAAAATAAGTGTTTAAAGAATAATGCCACACAGGAAATTCGGTCCTGCTAAGGAGTGATTTTTGAATTTTTTTTTTTACTAAACCTGAATACTTTACCCTGGACTGAAAATATTTCGAGAATATGAAATATGTTCACATAATAGCTGCGTTCACACGACTCCGTATTTATGAAATTCGATATTTGCGAGATACCGAATCTGAGACAAATATGCGACTTACTCGACCAAAGCATTCACACGCTGTTTTGCGGCTTCAGAAATACCATATTTGCAAGCCCGGCGCAAATTGCCGAAGATTTTGCTAAAAAACATTAAAAAACAGGGTAGCAATGTTCCATGAAATGTTCGGCAATGTGCGGTGAAAAAAGTTCTGAACAATGTTTCTGAAGATCAGAAATGTTTGATATCTCGAACATTGTTCGTCGAATGTTCGTCAATGTGCGCTGAATGTCAAACAATTCTAGGAACATTTGCAAAGTAGTAACCAATAGCAGCATGATATGTGGTCACACGATTTTTGTGTACAATATGGCGGACTATAGTCAATAGTGTGGACTTTTGAAAAGGAAGAGATTATGGTCGAAGCGTGTCTAAAATTAGTAAAGTTGTTAAAATTCTCTTGTGCAAACTAGGCATCGCCATTCACGCCGATCACGTGACTCTTTACAACACAGCTACTAGATGGCGCCACGAGGTTGTTGGCAGCAAAAAAGTTCGGCAATGTGCACTCAGCAATTGTTCACCCGCACATTGCCAGACAAAAACATTTGTTCGGGAAAATGTTCGGCAATGTGCGCCAGGCTTTAGTACAATGAAAAATAAACAATGCGTCCAAGCGAACAATCAAGCGAACAATGCGAAATAAACAATCAGTGCACAGCAACTGCCGATAAAATATGTAGACTGATCCGCGCTCGACAGTTCCACTCGCGTTACGCGAGTGTAACTGTCAAGCGCGGACCAGTCTATAAAATACGCGGCTTCAGAAATTCGGCATTTAGCGTTCACACGAGAGAAATACGCGGTCCAAGAGATTCTAAATTTCTCAAGCACGAGAAGTAATTCGGCATCTGGGAAGCCGCGTATTTCAACAAATACCGAATCTATTTAGATTCCGTATTTGTTGGACCGCGCATTTTAGCCTCGTGTGAACGCTAAATACCGAATTTGTTGCTACGTGTGAACGCGGCTATTGTAGTAGCTAGAAAAGGACTAATTAGGTTGCATGTGAGTAACTTCATACAAAAAAGCAAGGCATGAATTAGGGTTATATGCATGACAAAACGTAGAGTAGAAGGGAAAACATGTGAATGCCTCTTCCTGGTTGAAAATAAAGACGTGTGTGAAAAACACACAATACAAATAATGTAATGATTCCTACCTACCTATACGTAGTGTCACAAACAATTTTTTTGAGTGGGGCTAGCATATACTAGAAGCCTATCTTGACTATAAAGAGAAGTTTAGACAATGACAGTACAGAAACTAACAGTGAATCAGCAGAAAATGTGGCATGATGACTGAAAGACTACAACACAATTTGTCAGTAGAGATTTGGTGAAAACCAAAAAAGAATGGCACTAAAAAATCAAAAGGATCAGTGTCCTCTTGCTTTGAAATCTGATAGTAAGACAAACTCTAGATGTTGCAATGGGCATAAATAACTAGGGCACTATGGAGAAAACATCACTACAAAACTTAGCAGGTTGGAACAGTTATCAGAATAACCTATGCAATATAACCAAAAGGAAAGTGAGGGCCTCCACACAATGTGCATTGCTATCTCCCTCTTAGTATGTAAAATGCAAGTGATGTAAGTTGTGTACGTTTTATTTTTAGATAAACAGTTTATAACACCAGTTCATATGGCCCAAAAAGAAACTGATAATGGTAGTTAATCATAAAGTAATTAATAATTAAGTTACATTTGCCAAAACATGCAGATCCTATAAATAGTTTTATATACATTAAAAGTAGCAAAGATATGATCATAAAATTAATGAAAATCCTGCTGGATGACATTATTCTACTGGTCTGCTTACCAAACTACACTCGACATGGTTAGCATGAATGTTCACCTACCTGTTTAGCAGATGGAGTCATGCCCTGCTGAACAACTAGAATCGCTCTGGAAATATTTTCCTCTTGCATTCGCTGACAGTATGTCTTAATTGTCTTAATGCCAATCTTAGGTTCTTCAGGGAAAAAGACAAACATTTGATCTGGAAAATAGGAAGCTTCATTTTCAACTTGTAACTTTTCAGATGTTAACAATCTTGAAGGTCGTTTGCAGATTGTTGATAGAACCTATTCCCTAATTCAATTTCACATAACGACATTCTATGTTGCTGAGCTCTATGAAACATGTATTAAACACATACATTCGAGTGGGAACAATTATTCATATCACCAGTCCAAAACAGATTAATATATGTATGTGAAGAATGAAGCAAATCGCTCTCACAACAGATATGACTCCATGATAAGGAGAGCAAGAGTGACAGTATATTGACTAATCTTGAACTCAGAACTAAAACAGCTAGCTGACAGCTGAGAAGTGTACCAAGAACACAAAGCATGTGTCACACAGCAGACAATGCAGACTTCCAAAATGTATGGAAACAAATCTTAGAGTGACGTGATTAACTCTCACAACATTGGCAATCACGAATGTGCCCAGGAAATGAGCGACAAACCTCAACCAGCAGTAGTTTTACGCAACTTAAGTCAGTTAGAATAAAGAAACCTCAATGGATATATTTGTTATTGACAGCTGACTTGTTAAAGCAAAGTTGCTGAGTGTTCAGTTCTGATAAAAGTTGTTATTACCTCCGCCCAACGGAGTTGGAGGAGGTTATGTTTCCGCTCTTGTGTGTTCGCGTTAGACTGGTACTCGCTCCCACCTCGATTCCCCCATCGAGTAACTAAGCCGAGAGGTGGGACTGGGTACCAGTCTAGTGTTCGTGTGTTCGCGCGATCGATATTAGCCAGCCAGCCAGCCAGCGCAGCGAGCCAGCTCCTAACACATATGCACTCCGTCAGTGCACTCTGCCTAGCTAAGTCACTCATACATAAGTGTAAGGCTGGATTGGTAGGTCCACTAATATTATCAGTAGTGTCATAATATAGATAATGTTCTACTATAGTGTTACTTTAGTTGGCGGAGGTATGCACTCCGTAGTGCCTCTAGTTGTTAATCTTTTGTTTGTCAAAGACATTCAGAAAGAACTGCATCCGCACGAAACACCAGTTGATGTGTCAGTGTTAATTAAAGTTGTTAATCTTTATAATTGCCAAACACATTTTAAAGAGACTGACTCTTTATGGAACTCAAAGTGACTTTGAAAAGACTGTACAAATATTAAATCAAAGAAAAGACTGCAAAGACATTAAGTGAAGCTTATTCTGTGACTGTAATACAGATAAGTATTATTAAGTAATAGTAACACAGATTACTAGTCTTAACGGAGTCTTTCGCATCCTCAGATATTTAGCTACTTAAATTAAGTCTAAGTAAGCCCTAGTCTTAAAGCTTCTTTTGAAATCAAAAGGGATGTTAGTAATACTTGTTACGCATTAGCCATTACTGTATAATCTGTTACTTGAATGTAACCGGCATAAACTGGAAGTGAGCCTTACTTTTCCAAGAATGAACTTTTAAAACGGATAAACCTCGCAACAAAAAGCTCATATAGACCTACTGTGAGCATACTTGCAGCGTGCAAACATCACGAAATATTCTCATTGAGCCAGAAATGTGCTCTGAAGTTGACTATTTTGAAAACTCTGTCGGACGCGGTTTTGTTACACAGCTAGCAGTAGCCATACGCTAGCGTAAATAGTTCCTGGAACGAAAACACTATATTTGTTTCCTGATTGCATAAGTAATATAGATAACGATATGATTTAAACAAATTTCATAATTTTGTACTGATAAACATCGAATAATGAATTATAACTTGTTTTATCATAGAAAGGAACTGTTAATGAATCAAGCCGATCACTCCGCTGTGTCCCGGATGTATAAACATGACTGTGGTGCTACGTTCGTATGTAATTTCATTTAGATTTTGAGAAGAAATGTTATGAAATTAGCAATACAATTAAGTTGTAGTGAATTTTTGCAACATATATATGCAAGCTCACAGGAGGTATATATATGTATTTAGCTGCGAGGTTTATCAACTTTAATGACAGCTCGTGTTTGTTTTCTCTCTTGTGTATTTTCCTCTGAAGGCCCGTGATTTGACACATCAACAGTATATGTAGTTATAGTAAGTTGATAGCTTTACCAAATCCCTTTGCATTCAAAGGTTTAGTAGTAACGGTAAATAGTTACATGTGCATCATGAAATACTTGTGCTATAGAGTGACTACTATAGTGAATATTAATGTGAAATAGGCATGCTATAATTCACTGGCATATAGAATTTACCTGTTGGGTCATCAATGTGAGCTACTAGCACGATAAGGTCAGCACGGGCAGGTCTTCTTTCACTGCAAAAAACGGAATAGGTAGTTTTAATGGTTAGTTCAATAAGAATATTAGATACCAATATATCACATGAAATCATAAAAAGTTTTGCGGTTCAATATTTATTAGAAATATTTTTAAAAAATGTTTTAAAACTGACGGCTATACCGTTGCTTACAACGACGGTGGCGCCACTAGCAGCACACCCACTGGAAAAGTTGTACAAAGCACCGTTTCGGCTGCAGGCTACAGACCGAGGGTGTTTCTTATTTATTAATTTAATAGCAGAAGGATTGCAATATCTTATAAACGACAGTTTCAGTTATAATATGGATAAATTTGACCTAAAATGAATATCGTTCCGTTAAATAGCATTTATGTATAAATATAATTGCACTTTTGTGATTAGCCCTCGGTCTGTAACGTGCAAAATAAAGTGGAAAATGCGCAACTTTTTCAGGGTGGCAGCACGGTCGCGGGTGTCATGTCATTGTCAGCTCCCAAAAATAAAGATTTCGAAATTCAATGTTGTTTTATGACAAACATGAATGCGTAATTATAGATAATTATAGGTACACACATATTTATAAATCTATTATCATACTATACTCTCAAATTCTAGAGGAAAGTATCCTTTTAATGCTGCCTATGAATGTATGAGTATTGACTGGCACAACTGATTGCTCAGGATTACGTTAACAGTTGTCCTTGCAGTACTGAAGGTTCAGAGTACAAATAGTTGCCTCCACGATGTTGGTAATTTATTACGAATAGATCTAAATGTATTTCCATTCTTTCAACCAAGAAAACAATTAGATTTTTTTCAAGGAAAGCTACTCAATTGCTGTCATTATAATTATAAACGATAAGTAGTGCTGCTGTAAAGCCATCACTGCTAGCATCGAACTTAGTTGCTGTCACATGGTTATGTAACTCTATTTTTTCTTTCCATCAATAAGGCCCAGCAATGCATATATGCTAATAGGTGTTACCTAAGTTGTCTTTATTTTTACTTCATTAGATTGGTTATTTCATTTGAATTAATAATTATTGGAAATGACAACCTGCTATAAAAGATAAATCTGACACTGCACGTGTTTCTATAATATATCTGAACACATGCAGTCACCTGGGTTTCTCTCCAAACTGCTGCTTGAAGTGCTCTATCGTCTGGTCCAGTTCCTCCTGTGTTACAAGGTATCCACGGTCATGGCATAACTAGAAAATTTTCATAGTAACAAAATATTAGAATTGCATCCAATCTCAACATACAACCAGAATATTTACTGAAGCATCGGA